ACAAATTGCAGACTAGAGAAAGATGTGTACATCAAATTCAAAAACAAGCGAAACAATACTGTGCACTGTTTAGGGATATGTATGTAGTAAAAGTGTGCATGGAAATGGCAACCATAAACTTCAGGAGAGCGGTTACCCATGGGTAGAAGGAGAAGAGAAGCTATTGGGGAGAACAACTGAATTGGCAAATCCTAAGCTGGAAGTAGATACACGGATATTCACTATATTGTTATTTGTATCTTCTTGTGCATCTGAAATATTTAAATAGTTTTAAATCTTCATGTTCCACACATATATAGGTAATTTGTTCAATGAAAAAATGAGATACAGAACAGGGATGTAGACAATGTTATTTGCATGTGACTGTGTTTTTTTAAGGAATATACTCACACGTTTTTATTTATACACAGAATACTTCTGAAAGGACACAAATCATTATAGGAACTGCATCTAGGAAGCACTGGGCAGGAGGGGAATGGGGAGGGAAGGAGACAAGTTGGCCTTGTCAAATTTGTATCTGGTACCATATGCATATGTCTTATCTTTTCAAACAACAAATTTAACCTTTTCCTTAACTCAATGGTCTGATAGGTAAGCACTGAAAGAGAGGACAAAAGAAAAAATGAAGGAGGAAGTTACCAAACAGTGAGAAGAATCCCGGATTCCTGGCATGGAAGGGACTTCCAAGGTCCTGCAGTGTATGGACCTCCTTCTGCCATGCCCTTCCCCTCTTCCACCATTTTGTTGCAGAAGGTTCTTCTGCCTTCTCACAACTTTAACCCACCAAAATAAATCTAGCACACTCAACCCTCCTTATCCATGGGCTCTGCATCTGAGGATTCGGGCAACTGTAGATTGAAATTTTCAGGGGAAAATATAATGGATGTTTGCATCTGTACTGAATATGTACAGAGTTTTTTCCTTGTCTTTATTCCCTAAACAATACAACTATTTATACAGCATTTACATTGTATTAGATATTATAAGCAATCTAGAGATGATTTAAAGTATAAGGGAGGATGGACATAGGTTACATGCAAATACTAGGCCATTTTATGTAAAGGACTTGAGCATCTGTGGATTTGAGTATCTGCAGAAGTAGCGGGGGACTGGACCTGGAATCCATCCCCGTGGATAGTGAGGGACTCTGAGGGCCGGCTACATTTCTTTCACAAGAGCATCCTTAGTTATCATGCCACACTCTTCTAACCTATCCCACCACAACTATGGTCTCCACTAGTTGCTAGCTGACTGTCTATTGTTTTAAACAATGCCTTTAGGTATGAATTGCTGTATAGTCGGATCCAATTAAATTCAGGGCCCTTTGCAGGGCCAGTCTCAGCAGCTGGTTCCCACCCCAGCTCTTTTATTATTAGCTCTTTCCCTGGCTCTCCCTGTTAAACTTCTAACTGGGCTCCAGTTTAGCTTATATGTAGCTACCATCTTCTAACTGCCTACCAACAAAATCTCCATTGTATTCCATAGTGCCCTTAGGATTGAACTTCCCCAAGTTCTATTTCAAGTAACTCAGTCCCCTTAGGGACAGCTACACAACTCTCTGTTCTTATGGCAAAATCCTGGCACTATATCACAGGATCTTTGGCAGAGACAGCAGCCCCTTCTCTCAGAATGACACCCTGCTTTATGAGCAGAGCACTCCTTATGGCAGTAGCCATTTGTTTTTTTGGCTTGCTTCTCCCAGTGTAATGGAGCAAGTAAGCTGGGGGAAAGGTGATCAGGGCCAAGTATTGTTATCCTGCTGTGCCTTGGGTAGTGCTTCTGCTCTATAAGTGGAAGTTGGGTGGAGAGAGTCTCAGATCTATCACCTGCTCTTGTATGGAACAGAGCTTCTGCAACATAGTATTGGTAGTACTGACAGATGCTGATGGCTTGTCCTTCCTGGGGAGATACCACAGACCTAGACTAGAAGCTGGCAGGAGAGTGAGTCTCACATTCTTGATGTACCTGCACAAAGTAGAGCTTTCATCTCAGTGAGCTTTGCTGGTGTGGGTAAGGGAGCAGGTCATGGCTCAAATACCACAGACTTTTAATGTTCTTACTAAGATTTCAGTAGATTTTCATGAATAAATATTTCTTTATTTGCTTAGGCCA